TATAATGGGCATGGCTAATTGTTAATCACTCTATTCCCAGAAGACAAGCTAGTAAGTCCTAAAAGAAAGGTAACTTCGTCAACAACTTTAAAAATCAGGAATACCAAGGGAAGGCACATTGGAGAGCCAGTGTTACAAACTCCGAGGGATGGTGGAGGACAGGAGAGTATAGAGGGATGTTGTCCAAGGGTTCATGATGGGTAAGGCATGACTTTGCAACTAACCACAAGGGTTGTTGTGAGGATAAACTGGGGTGTGTGGGTGGGGGGTTAGAACTGTCATGCCCCCTATTCTCTCACTGAATGCCCAGGAATTCCTGAGCAAAGCATCACACAAGGGCTATCTTTGTCCTTGGGACTTCAAAGTGTATCAGGAAGGTCCTGGTTTTCTGGACCAACTCCAACCCTCACAACATAGTTTGCACCTGCTCAGACTCAGAGTCAGATACTGAATGGACACTTAAGGCATGTGGCTTGGGTGTCAAAAGTTCAGCTGGCAGACAGAGAAAGGGACAGCTGAAGGATTTTGTGTGGGTGTGTGGATGTGTGTGTGAGAATAATATACCAATGAGCAAAGGCCAGTGTGGTGTAGTGGTTAAGAGCATAGGACTGGGACTCAGACGACCTGGGTTCTAGTCCCCGCTCAGCCACGGAGCCAAGTGGGTGACTTTGGGCCAGTCACAGACTCTCAGCCCAACCTACCTCACAGGGTTGTTGTTGTGGGGATAAGATGGAGGAGGAGAATGATGTAAGCTGCCTTGAGCCCTTTGAGGAAAAAGGCAGGATATAAATTGAAAAATAAATAAATAAAAATAAATAAAAGAATAGAGCTTTTCTCATTTGACACAAATGGCTCTGGGTGGCAAAATAGCTAAAATCTTCCACTCCATTCCAGGGACCAAGTGCTGAGCATGAGTATGTGCAACTAGTTTTCTGGCCTGTGCTTCTTTTGACTGGTCTCTCATGCTGCCGATGACTTTGGGTAAGACTGTGCTTCCTATATCATGCACATATTGGGCTCTTGATCTTGGCTGTGCCTCCAATACTGCATTTGAACTGCTGTTTTCTTGACTCGTAACTCTGTACTTCTGACCTCTGCCTACCTTTTGACCTTTTTGGTGGATTTGCCCCATAAACTGCCCCAGCACTTGGTCTGAAACAACTACCTTAGAACAGAAACCATGTATGCTGCCTTGAGCTATGTGGAGGAAAGACGGTGATAAAGCGGACTATTTAGATGATTTAATGATTATCTCATTCCACTATGCTACATTTGGTGCTCTGTATTTTCAGATCTGCTCTTAACCTTTCTCCAGCTGGTCTTTTTCTCTTGTGTGAGGTCAAATTCTGTTTTAACATACCATAAGCATCCATTTGACATAACTCACCTGCATATATCAGAGGAAAAATATCCAGCTCACTTTAGACTATAAATAAGTATTCTTGCCACAGTGTCAAGAATTTATTATTCCTCTCACTATTATGCCGTTAGAGCTATGAAACGGGAGTATAACACACTGACATTTTCATGATGTGGTTACTTGTTGGTCATACAAAAAAGGCACAGCATTCAGCACCTCAGAATTCCACCTTACTGTCTGGGAGAGGATTCGTTTTCCACCAATGCAATCATTGGATTTGTTGGTTTATATCCCACCCACTCTAATACTTCACCTGAAAGAGGGAAAAGCTCAGAACCAAAAGAAGTGAATTAAGTGAAAATGGAGGTGTTTTGAAGTTTATTTGTATTTAGAATACATTTCATTTATTGTGAACATACAAAACATCTTCAGACATTGTAAGAAAAGTTCCTTGTGATATTTCTTATTGCTTAAAACTGATTAGGAAAGAGCAACAATGTGACCACTGGATTTAAAAACAGCCTTAGGTCAACAGTTATATATTTACTCACAAAATATTACATAAGCATGTAAAGGTTGTGTGGAACAAATGCATGGTTCTTTACTATCTCACTTTTACCATCTCTAATTTTTCTCATTCAGATTTGCTCAAAATATAATTTCACTGCTTTTCAATAAAAACTTGTTTACTACTTTTCCTTACTTGTACTGTTGTTCCCATATCATCCAGACAGTTTCAGCTATAGGGTAGCATATAAATGAAATATAATAATAATAGTGTCAATTGCCCCATTTTAATGTATGGATTCAGAGCTACTGTATCAGTTGTTCTTTTGAACCTAGATTTGCTTAACAAATATTTTTGAATAAAATAATTTATTCTTATCCAAGCAACAGAAACATTTATTTCTGTCTGAGCCTTCTTCAAATTTCTTGGCTACAGTCTTCCTCTGAATTCATAACTGAGCCAAAGTGTGAATTTTTTTCAAAATTTCAGTTTCTTCATTGTTAACAGTAAAGTTGTGTAGTTGTGATTTTTGTTTTCTCCATATTCAGCTGAAGTTCTGCTTTAGCACTTTCTTGTTTCTCTTTTGTCAGGAGTTGTTTCAAGTTATCACTGTTTTCTGTCACTAAGATGGTTTCCTCTATGTATCTTAAAAAACATTGCCCATTTTCACTTTTTCCTCTGATCCTAATACAGCTTTCTGCATAATATGCCGTGTACAGACTGAAGAGATAGGGAGATAAAATACAGCCTTGTCTATGCCTTTATCTAAAGATAACCATTCTGTTTTTTCTGTATTCTGTCCTTACAGTAGTTTCTTGTCCATGATACAGGTTATGTATTGGGAGAATAGTGCTGAGGCACACTCATTTCTTTCAGGACTATTCATAGGTTTTCATGATTTACACAGTCAAAGGCTTTGCTGTAAACTATAAAGCAGAGACTTATCCTCTTCTGAAATTCTTTTGTGTGTACCGGTAGCCAACAATTGCATATATCTGCAATATGATATTGAGTGCCTCTTCCTTTTTGGAATTTAGCTTGACCATGAGGCATTTCTTATTCCAAACAAAGTAGTGTTTGCTTGTGCAGGAAATTAGTGCAATGGCCCTATGATTGCTGCACTTTTTTCTGCCTCCTTTCTTGGAGATTGGAATGTATCCTGACTGTTTCCAGTCTTTGGATCATTGTTTTGTTTTCCATATTTGCTGGCATATTCTTGTTAGCTTTTGGACCAATACAATCAATGCAGTTTACTATAGTTCTGTTCATTCCCTCCCTTTTCTAGGTGTTTCATTCCTTCCTGCTGTTTTCAAAGCAGCTTTCAGATTTATTTCTGATATTGCAGACTCTTCCTCATAGGATTCCTCTTTGAAGGAGTCTGCTATCATTTCAACTCTTTTGTAAAGTTCTTCTGCATATTGTTTCCATCTTCTCTTTATTTTCTCCAGGTTTGAGAGTATGCCCACCTGTTTTTCTTTCAGCATTCCTAATCTAGGTTTGGATTCTCCTTTGATTTCCTGGATCTCCTGGAAAAGTTCCCTTGTTTCCCCTCTTTTGTTGTTCTCTTTTTCCCTGCACTGGTGATTGCAATAGTTCTTGTCTCTATGTGGTAGCCACTGAAAAGTGGGATGCTGACCCTATTTTAGTCACCTTTTGCTTTTGCTTCTCACCTGTCCTTGGCAAAAGCTTGCATATCCACACTATTATCCAAGCAGAATTTTTCCTCCATTTTAACCCTCTGGAACATAGCAAAGAACCAGAAAGCCAGGGTAGTAGTTAGTGTTGGACAAAGTAGGGAGACCAAGATTCAAACTTCCACTTAGTTAGAAGCTCACTAGATGACCTTGGACTAGTCATACTTCTTGACCAAATCAAGGTTCAGAAGTACATTTTTACCTACTTTACCTATAAAGATAAGATTCATCTTTAGCAGTCTACAATGATCACTACTAGCAATGAAATTGTAAGCTACTAATGCTTGCAGTTGATTCTGTACATTATCAATGTATAATTTCAGGAAGTGATGGGGGGAAATCCTAAAAACAAATAAACAATCACTGAATTAATGATGGGTTTTGTAATGGCTTACCATTCTTTAGATATCCCCTTCTGTAGGTTTTATTTTGTGCTTCCATTCCATCAGTCTTTTAGTTAATTTTGATTGAGTGATGAATAAATGTATGAAAAGCAGAAACAATGTCTCAGAGGAGATAGGTACCAATTATGAATTCTTTTCTTGAATGTTAACTGAAAGGATGGGCAGAAAATGAACCACTAAGGAAATGGGGCTAAAATGAACAAATTAACCTTCAGACTGCATTGGGTGTCTTGCTTTTCAGTCTAAAAGCATTAATTAACTTCTGCTGGGCTAGGCTATGTAAAACTCTTAAGAGAAGTACTGCATTTATCTGGTACGCTAGAGTAAGCCTTCAGGATTTCCACGTTGTTTGGCTTTCCTTAAAATCATAACAACTGTGATATTTAAAGACTTTTATTTTAAAGAGCACCCTATCCATTCTGTATGAGGCAGAGCCTGCTCTATGCTTTGTACTGAGCATATCTTGACATTTTGAAAATGAACACAGGTCTCTAGAGGCTGGGCGTTATGTTCACATCTAGCAGGTGCATAATATAGCTATGCATACAGTTGTATTAAAAATGTATTAACTGCACTTCATGATTAACGCTAACTGAAGGGTCTTGGAAAATGGAGCCCACTCAGTAGCAATCCATTAATATCACCTTGGCTTATGCAGAGACAAGTGATGCAGAAAGGGGGGATGAATGGTGAACAACCTCATACAAACTTCTTCAATCAAAGCTAGCATAATAGTTTTGGCTGTGAGCCAGCAAGTCATCAACCCTGGCTTAAATACTGTTGTAGGGAGATTTCCACCAGTAGGACTCCTAATGAGAGCTGATTACATTAAAAAGTGCTTACTTAGGAAGTCATAGCCAAATGCGAATGATAATCATTTGAACACTTACATTAAGAACAGAATAAATATTAAACAGACATAAAATTCACAAGAAGTCTATTAACATTTTAGGGATTTTTTAAAACTTAAAAATCCCCATTTCCTCCTTCCTTTTAAGTGATTCGTGGTTCACTGAATTCTGTAGGACACCCACCTGTGGGAGGATTGGAAAGCTTTTGCTTCAACATAATCTATTTCAGCAGTATTTTCTTTCAGGGTCCTGCACAGAAGAAGCCATAGATTAGTACATGGGTCGTCCAACTATGGCCTGCAGGCCGGATCTGGCCCACCATGCCCATTTATCCAGCCCACCTTTTAATTATACAAGGCCGGGGGTGGCCAGGCCAGGGTCCTGCACCCGCCACCACCTCCGCCTCGCTGGCCCACACCTGCCGCTGCTGCCTTTCAACTGGCCCCCTACTGAAAAAGTTTGAGGACCCCTGGATTAGTATATAGTCAAGGTTCAGAGCTTCAAGGAAGGAAAAGAGGCAGGTGTATGATAAAAAAGACATAGATGGGTCCCAAATGGAAATGAGGCACAGGCATTTTCCACAGCACCTGCATTAGCTGACAAGTTTCTTGAACAGAAAAACTAAGCCTGAAGCAACTATTATATATAGCCAGCTTAGCTCCTTTTGGTGTCCTAGATTATATGGTTTTGCTGACAAGAAGATTGTGGCATACTCACTCCTTGCTCATAACCAGAACAGCAAGGGTTAGCATGCATGCATGCATGCATTCATTTATTGCATTTATATACCACCCCTAGTCCAGAGGGCTCTCTGGGTGGTTTACAAACATTAAAACCCCAAATACTGTATCCAGTCCTAAACAAAGAAATGGGCTACACCATGCTGAGTATAAAATAACATAGTTAAAATGAATTAAATGAATAAATATGCAATTCAAATTAACTCTAAAAATATTGGTTAAATAAAAAGTTGTTGACCTGGCGCCGAAAAGCATATAATGAAAGTACCAGGCGGAGCTCTCTAGGGAGCGCATTCCATAGTTGGGGCGCCACTGCAGAGAAAGCTCTCCTCTGAGTACTCTGTCTCCTGCCCTCTTTCAAAGAGGGTTCCCAGAGGGGGGCCTCTGCTGTCGATCTTAAGGGGCGGCAGGGCATATAGGGAAAAAGGCATTCCTTTAGGTATCCTGGTCCCAAGCCATTTAGGACTTTATAGGTAATAACCAGCACCTTGAATTGAGCCCGGACATCAATGGGAAACCAATTGAGCTGATAGAGGACTGGAGTTATGTGAGAATAACGACCCTCTCTGTTATGTTCCCCGCTGCCCAAAAGGTGTTTCATTGTGAAGACCTTAAACCTAAAGAAGACCTTAGCTGTGCTGCCAGACTCTGTGCTTTGAACCTTCTTGGTACCTTGGTATCCAAATAATGATTTTTTTAAAAAGCAACTGGGCTCAGAAAAAAATTATTTTTGATCTCTATAAATGACTGTATGTGTTTATACAATGCACATCTATGAAGAAAGGAAAAACTGTATATAACCTCAAGCCCACTGCCAAAAGTGGAAGCATCCAGGCTTTCCCACTTCCCCTGGCCTCCCTCCTACATTTCCCCAGCGGTTGATCTTTTTATGGTCTCTAAGGTTTTCTCCCAACTTTTTTCTCATTGAAAATTGTCAAAATATATTTCTAAGGCTTAACTACTGACAGTAAAAGCTTTACACTAAAATAGGTTGACCTTGTTTTAGTATTTTAGGCCTACCCCTCTGCCTTTGCCCCCCCCCCCCCCTTTGCCTTCAGTGTCATCCACCACTGGAATTAGTCGCTGAGGGCTTTTTCAAAATCTAATTCCACTCTTCAGCTGAAAAAGGTTCAACATTCCTGGTATAAGTAATACATGACAGGGAATCCTAGCCTTGACATGGGACCTTGAATCCTGAAGTGGCCCAACCTTTGTTAATTACTGAGAATTCTGCAGGCATGGAGTGGGGGAGGGGGTTCAGGTGCAGAAGGGACAAAGGCTTTTAACACTAATTGCCATGATAGGCCGACAGTGTGCTTTGACTGTTTCTACTAAAAAAAACTTTGGGAGGGAAACTTTTTTCCTCTGCACAGTCAGCAGACAAGTACCTTCTGCTTGCTACATTTCAGGAACCAGCTTCTTTCAAGGGCTCAGAGCTGAAAATTATGCAAATGTCCAAGTCTTGACTACCTGCATCTCAGTTTGGCCTTGACTCACCTATCATGTGAATCAGGTCTATCTATCCAAATTATACATAGTATCAGAGGAAGTTATGGTAAAGTTGGAAGTACTTTTGTGGGATAGTAGTACACTTATTTACAATTTTGTAGAATGCAAAGTGAGGCAGGGAATTATTGCTTCATTACTTAAGCTCCTAGCAGTGTATAATAAAACAAGCTCTGTAAAAATTGTCTGCTGTTGCCATACCTTAAATGACTGTATTCTTATATTTTTCTTTGCTAAATTCAGTGCAAAGAGATAACTCATTAATTATTATGAAGATTTGAGTTTTGGATGCAAAATAGAGTTTTGCTAACAACACAATTTTTAACTAGAGTAAGATTCATTTACATAGCTTGAATATTAGACAACTGACCTTATTTTCAGACAGTGAGCGCATAAAGAATTGGAGTACTTGATGGACATGTTTATTGGTTTATTCTTTCTTTGTGGCTGTTATGAGTTCACATTGCACATATATGCTTGTGTCAGCAGTAAGAGGCTGAAACAATACAAAAGAATAATATACTTCTAGTAGTTTATCATTTGTTATCATTTCTAAAAAAGAATTGTGAGGGAGATAGAAAGATGAGAATAACAAAAAAGACAATGCTGCCAAACATTTTACAGCATTTATTAGTTCTGTAAATCAATTCTCCCAGTATTCTGTGAAAAACAAAGTTGTGAAGCACAGAAAACTGATCTCAGCTAACCCAATTTTTATAGGCAAGAATGCATATTTATTAGTTTGGTGTGCTGGGGTATATACTAAAAATGGGAATTATTCCATCTAGTGGAATCCATTGAGTAAGATCAACTGTTTACAAAGGTGCAACATTAATAATTGTCTTGGGGTACAATAGCAAGGAGCAAGAAATAGGATGGTAACTTTGCCTGAAAACACATAGAAACATAAAAACAGAGCGAGTCAGAAGGGGTCTCCCAGGCCATCTAGTCTGACCTCCGGCACCAGCCGGCTAAGCTCACGACTTGCCCACCATGTGGACGTCCAGCCTATCCTTGAACACCCACACCAATGGGGCCTCAACGACCTCTCGTGGAAGCCCATTCCACACCCTCGGGGTCCTGACTGTCAGGAAGTGCT